CTCCGAGTCTTGTGATCTTCTGTCTCTACTCTGACACAAAGGCTCAGGTTGCTTTTAATAAATTTATGGCATACGATCTACTCTCACAATACAAAAAGTCTTCAAGGATGCCTTGTTCAGACTTCTGGGTAAAAAGGCATTGGGAGAAGAGATTTCTTCTCTATGTTAATGAAATTATCCAGGGAAGAATAAAAGATAAAAATAATTTTTTAAAAGAGGGAGAACAAGGATTAAAGTAACACTGGGACCTCAGCAAGTGTGCCTTCCACGTGGTGACATCCTATTCAATACGTTTCAGAAGGGACCATGTAAAGGCAAACTCCGAAGGCAGATCTTCTTCCTGAGAAATAGCAGTGGGTCTGGGAAGGAAGTAGCAGAACACTACTGCCACTTTAGTACCACCACGCATGACCATCCCCTTCTCATTGCCAAATGTGGAGAGCCAGAGGGAGAGGTGCAGGTGGGTTAGGTAAGAAGGTGGTGATTTGCCAGGACTGCAGATCAGGAGCATTTGAAAATATATCATGTCCCAAGGGAGGTGGAACCCAACACAGCTTCAACCTAGGAAGGACAGCAGGCAGAGAGAAAAATGAAACTCAGAATATCAGTACAGCAGCTTTACTGTTGGTAGAGAATGGTTCAGAGAGCACCAGTCCCTCCCAAATCTTCCTGATAAATTTGCCTGCCAGACCTAGATAGACCTTTTCTTATTTTTTTTTTTTTTGGTAAATAAAACTGATATGGAGATGATAAAAGGCAGAAAACCTAAGATTTCAGAATACAGAGAAAGATAGTATTTTTTTTTTTAGGAAGCAAAATCTTATTATAAGACTTAGCAAATTTGGATGCATATTCTCACGAAAATTCAAGAAAAGGGGAAATTAAATGATAAAGGAGGAGAAAGATGAAGTCAGCAATAAAAAGGGGGCTGCTTAGAGAAGGTAAAAATGTGCAAGAGTTAAGGAAGTGAAAAGAGTTATAGCAAATTAAAATCTTCATTCAAAGCAATGAAGAGTAGAATGGGCCCTAGAAACAACCAAAATCAGTAATGCAGAAGAAAAACTTGAAAAACTGCCAAGGATTGAGGAGGAAAAAGATTAAGAATTAAAGTAATTAGAGAAAAAGTTGGAGGTTTGAAGAACAGGATACAGAAAACATAGCTTTGAGATGCACCTGAGGAGGGGAAACAGAATAAATAAAGCCTGAAAATTAAATATATATATATATATATGAAGAGAACTTTTTCAAATCGATATATCTATAACTATCAGGGTCACCTTCCTGTGACAGACACAACACTAACTTTAAGGGAAGCTGAGAAATACAATTGTTATTCCAAGCAGTTATATAAAAATTGAGAATTATGTTACTAAGAAAAAAATATGGATGTGGGGGAACCACTACCAATTTCTTCCATAACTGAATAAAAATGTGTATCTGCAAATCAGAAGATCTCAGTGAGTTCCTGGCACAATTATAAAGACTTCAACAGCTAGATAAGTCAAGAACAATATAAGCCTAAAATCCAAGATTAAATAAAATGGAAAACTGAGTGAAATACAGAAGAAGAAAATAAAAGTATATTTACTTCTTAACATAGGAGATGTCAATGGGAAGCATTTTTTTTAAATCCAATAATTAGGAAAATATGCCTTCACATTTTTTTTTAAATTTTCAAGGCAGTCCAAACAGGATACTTGCTATATCAAATTCAAGAAAAAATTAAAAATAACATCTAGGCAGAAAAAAGTCAGCTTGCCTACAAAGCTTGAAAGACCAGGCTAGGCTCATAGCCCTATAATATTAAACAGCAGATTTTGACAATAGAGAAACAACCAGTTTGAGTGCAAAAGGTTGCCTGCTAGTCGAGAATTCTAAACTCAGCCAAGTTGTCATTCATGTTTAAAGAAATATAAGAAAACTGTCAGCTACTCAGAGATTCTGAAAGTACACCACTCATATCCTTCTTTAAAAAGTACTTAAATTATACTGTAGCCAACAGAGGGACAAATCAAAATGAAAAATGGGGATGTTCTGATAAAAATAGAGCTCATGGTGACTTCAATTAAAAGAAGTCAAAATAATTTTTAAAGTATGTATATGAAAGAGTCTTTAAATACAATAATTCTTGAAAGAAAACAATGTTAAAAAATAGTAGGTGGTATATTTTGTCAAAATTCAATGAATTTGGGGGTTGGGGTTGTAGCTCAGTTGTAGAGCACTTGCCTAGCAAGTATGGGCACTGGGTTCAATCCTCAGCACCACATAAAAATAAATAAATAAAATGAAGCTATTATGTCCATATATAACTAAAAAGTTTTTTTTTAAATTAAATGAATATATACTTATAATTTATGCATTTCATTATTTTTAGATTTTACCTCAAAGGAAAAAAGTTGCAAGCAATTGCTAAACTCTAATGCTGTTTGTGCTGAAAAATTTAAGGACAAGTATACTACTATCTTTAATTTACTTTTAAATGCATTTAAAATAAAACATGGATAGAAAAGTAGATAACACAAGCATACTAAAATGGCAAGGGTGGGAGCTGGGTGGTTGGTATATGAATGTTTACAACAAAATCCAGCTTTTTTATATATTTAAAAGTTTTCATTAAAAGAGATGCTGGGGTGAAAAGTAAACTTGTGTATATAATCCAAGATTCAATAAAATGGGAAACTGAGTTAAATAAGGAAGAAGAGGAAAATAAAAATATACTTATTTAACATGGAAGGCAGTCAGTATGGGCTGGGGGTATAGCTCAGTTGGTAGAGTGCTTACCTCACATGCACAAGGCCCTGGGTTCAATCCCCAGCACCACAAAAGAAGGCAGTCAGTATGTAGCATTAAAAAAAAAAAAAAAAAAAACGATAATAGAAAACTAAGCATTCATATATTTTTTAAATTTTCAAGGAAGTTCAAATAAATTTTTCAAATAGGATCTGTACTTTTCATATCACAAATAGAAAAATAAAATACAAATGACATAGCAAAGAAAAAAACAATTTTCAGTAAAGAGCAAGAAAATGTTTGAAGAAATCAAATAGCATAAGCAACTTGGCTGAAGTGATTTTAATAATACATATGAAAGTAAAAACTAACATAGTAACTTTAACAATAAATATAGAAGTAATCTCAAGACATACCTCAAAGAAAGAAAGAAAAGTATTAGAATAAGTAAACTAGCAATTACACCACAGGACACAATTCATAAAGAAATCAAGATCACAATATTTTGCACCAAAGTAGAATTTTAAATGAAAACTCCAGTGAAATTTAGACAAATGTTTACAAAAATGAGCAGCACATAAAGAAAACAACTATCATGAATCTTTTTTATATGCTACATCATGCATAATAAAAATAAACAAGGATTCCCACTCATTCAGGGAAAATTAATAGAAATGAAATGATAATGGAGATTTTTTATGTCACCAACTCCTCAGAAAAGTAACATGCATATAATCATTTAGCAAGTTAAGAAACACTTCAAGTGTGTTTCAATCAGTGCAAAGTTGATTGGGACAAAACTTCACCCATTCTAGAGGCTACATGTTTAAAAAAATTAAAGCCTAAGTATGTGAGCCTCTTTGGCACCCATGCCCCATGGGTTCATATTTGGTTCATGCTACCTACAAACCCCATTTGCATGTGTGTTACTAACAAACTATTCTCTCCTACTTATATGATATTCAACCAGACCCATGAGCTACAAAACCTCTCTAGGTTTTATTGCTGATTTGGAGGAAGAAGAAATAGTATGGGCTGGAAGAACTGCAGAAGGTTTCTTGTGACTATTAAATTTCAAGGTATTTCAAAGCAGTGAGTCCTAGAGAAAGATCAGATGATAGCATGAGAAATTTGGGATCTTCCACACTATCTTTCCTTTCCTAAACCCGGATGGTGCTTCTACAGAAATGAGCTAGATGGGGAGAGCAGCAAGGTCAAGGGAAAGTTGAGGGACAAGCTTGTGGACATTCTGAATTTGTGGTACTGACAAAAGAGTCCATCAGAAAGAGATACTTTGAAGGCTGTTAAAAATGTGGTTGGAGAGTGACCATCACAAAAGTTGAGTTAATGCCACGCAATTCAAGTTGTCTAGGGAAAGGATAGAGGATTACCAAGGCCTGCAAAAGCCAGATGATGAAGACACTGCAAGCCAGATAGAGGTGTCTGGCCATGATGTGCTAGGCAATGTAAAAGCAGCAAAGATGTAGGACCACAGAGGCCCTTCTAATTATTAGGAAATCCTTCTGAGATGAAGCTCAATTTCATTTCCTCATCCTCCAGCATCTGTCAGCTGATGCGTCTTCTGCCCAATGGGCAACACAGAATGCCTCGGCTCCCTCTTCCACATGACCCCAGAGAAAAGCAAAAACTACACTGAGCCTCCATGTAGCTCACAGGACTGGCAGGAATGCCTTTTGCAAAGACATCATGCTCTCCGACAAAACCACATTAATCATCAACCCAGGAAACTGGAACACTCTATGAAACCATTGCTATAAATTCAATATTTACACAAAATCTGGAGGTTGAAGTTCTTTTTACTGTAGGGAGGGAAAGCATGAAAAGCTGCCAGAAAGAGAAGCCCAGTTCCTACCTCCACTCACCCCGTTCATCTGCAAAAGTCACATTCTCATTTCACAGCTAAGGAAACTGAGTTGCACAAAAGGCAAAGTGTCGGACCAAGAAAGTGCCCATGCTCTGTGATTCCAACATGACCATGCACGTTTTGAGTTGAGTAAACTGCAGTCCCCAGGGTACAATGCCCTGCCCAATGTCACACAGCAAATAAGCATCCAAGTGAACAGTCAAGCTCAATTTGCCTGCACCAAGACCACATCCTCCAGCCAATGCAGGCCAGCCAAGGGAAGAAGAGGGAAAAAGTAGCTATTTATTTGTTTATTTATTTATTTATTTTGGCACTCGAGATTGAATCTAGAAGTGCTTTACCATTGAGTTCCATCCCCAGTGCTTTTCGTTTTTTTATTTTGACACAGGGTCTTGCTAACTTGCTTAGAATCTCAGTAAGTTGCAGAAGTTGGTCTAGAACTTGTGATCCTCCTGCTTCAGCCTCCTGAATCCCTAGGATTACAGGTATGTGCCACCACACCTTGCTGGCTGGATTGTATCTAAAGAAGCAAGCCTAAGAATCCTCATTTGGATAATTCTTTGGAAATATGAAACCCTGAGAGACGGAGGAAGCTGCATGTAGACAGCTGAGGCTTGGTTGAAGCTGTTGGAACCTCTCTGTTTCTGGAAGTATTGCTAAGCTTCCTGCCTGGGAGTTGCCCAGGGACCTTATCTCAAGTATCATTTGGCTAAAGCCTAGTCCACACTTCCTGGGTCAGTATCTCAGGGTGGGGCCCTGCAACCTGAACTGTTAAGCCTCCCCAGAGGATCTGGTGTACAGGTGCCACAGGATTAACATTCTTCACTAAACAGCATGCAGAATGGGTCTAGGTCTCACACCCAAGTCAGGGTCAGACCAGAAAAGGACCACCAACCTGCCTTCAGCCCCCAGGTGTCCTTTCAGTCCACACACAGTGCTTAACACAGCACAGTCCAGAGTTAATGCTCCTGAAAGATGTCTCTCTGCCGTTTTCATTTCTAAACCTGTCATAAAAGCCACTCTTGTCTCCTAATGAGGTAATTGGTGCCATAACACCATTAGGAGGTTGCCCCTGGAGTGCAGCTCAATTAAGAAAGGTATATTAAAATGATGCACATTTCTTTATTTAGCTGAAATGCTAGTTCTAGACTGGCTAAGTAATAGGATGTAGTTAATGAGCAGAGCATGGGGCTCTTTTAATTCCACACTGTAGCTTTCTAACTAATTGAGGCATTGTTCTTCCTCACCCCACTGATCAATTTTTTCTTTCCTAATGTTAAGAGAGAGAAAAAAAATAATACCACTCAGGTATCAGATGACAGAAGGGAAAACCTAAAACCTATATGAAGCCTAATTCCCAGCTGGATTGTAACAGGCCAGCCTTCCAGGGACAGGATTCCCTGTGTTACGAGCTGACATGATAGGTTCATTCTGGGCTGAAGATGAACTTGAAAGCATAGTAACAGTGCCATCATTTCAAAAGTTCTGCTCTTGGATAGGCCTAGGGGACCATCTAACTTTTCTGGTAAAGTGTGGTCCCTAGGCCAGCAGTGGCACCTGGGAGCTTGCTGGAAATGCAAATTCCCAAACCACCCCAAACCTACCAAATCAGAATCAGACCCTCAAGTGGCCCTATGCACTTTGAATTTTAGGATGCATTGTTGCAAATCCTTCCAGAAGTTAGAATCCCTAACCAGCCTCCAGGCAGCCAGGTTTACCTCTTTGCAGGTAGGACTGTTCTCATGGAAGAGAAAAAAAAAACAAAAACAAAAACATTTTTTTAAAAAATAAAAGAAACCAAGAGAGAAAGAGAAAAGACCAAGAAAATGCTCCTGGCCTCATGGAGTTCAAAAGCCCAAGTTTTATTTTGCTCACCAAACCACAGACCCCTCCTGTATCACACCCAAGGGCTGCCGCTCGGCCTCTGCCAAGCCCACAGCTAAACGAAAAGCCAGAAGGAAAACACTCGTCCCACATGGGAGAGCCAGGAACTCCAAGACAGAGCCCAACCTTCTAACCTCATGGAATCACAGCATGCAGGAGTCAGCAGGGGCCTTAGAAGTCATTTCCCATCCTTTCATCCTACACAACAAACCGAGGCCCACAGAGCAAGCGATTTGTCCAAGCTGCCTATGACCCTTAGTGGCAGAGCTGGCTGAGATTGAGCCCAGGTACGCTGTCTATAGTTCTTTTCCCTCACACCAGGAGACCTTGGGGGAATCTGTGCAAGGACTCTCTCAAGGTCGGCATGCAAAAGCCATTTCAAAATTTGTACAATGTGAAAATGTTCTCTTCTAAAGCAAATATAACATTGCACAGTTATAACCACAGTTGTGGACAGATAATCCTGAGAAGCGGGATCCACCAATGCTTTCTAGATTACAAACTAGCTGGAATATTGAACAGAAAGTGAGAACTAACCAGAATCTTTCTAAAAACGTGAGCTGAATTCAATACTTCAGATTAGAAAAGATGGCCAACTTTTTCTTAATCTTTTTGTTTGTTTGTTTGTTTGTTTGTTTGTTTGTTTATTTATTTATTTATTTTGTACTGAGGATTGAACTCAGGGGTGCTTTACCACTGAGGTACATCTCCAGCCCTTTTTATTTTTTATTTTGAGACAGAGTCTTGCTAAGTTGCCTAGGCTGGCATTGAACTTGCCAACCTCCTTCTGCCTCCCAAGTAGCTGGGATTAAAGGTATGTACCATTGTGCCTGCCTCACCTCTTGTCTTAGTGAGCTGCTTCTTTCTACGTTTTGTGCATGCTCATTGCCTGTGTCAAGTACCACCAGCTCAATCAAGTACAGTAGCCCCCTGCTTTATCCCCTGGGGGCAGTCTTCCAAGATACCTAGTGGATGCCTAAAACTGTGGATAGTACTGAACTCTATGCACTGTTTTTTCCCTATACTTCCTGTAACATTGACTCATAGGACCAGAGTTAGTCCATTTTTCCATTTCCATGCTCTGATCTTGTGCATCACTATCCTTGCACTTTAGGAACATTATGAAGTCAAATCGGGTTTACTTGAAATAAGGGTTACTTGCAGTCAATCTGATAACTGAGATGGCTACCAAGTGACTAACACCAATGGGTGGGTAGCATATACAATGTGGATACACTGGAAAAGGGAACAAATTCACATTCTAGTCAGGATGGAGTGGGATGGTACAAGACTTCAGTCTACTTCTCAGAATAGTGTGCACGATAAAGCATGAAATGTTTATTTCTGGAATTTTCCATTTAATGTTTCTGGACCACAGTTGATCACTGGTAGCCAAAGTTTCAGAAAGTAAAACTGTGGACACAGGTGGACTACTGTATCTTCCTAACTGATGGTTTGGTTGAAAGCCAAAGTCACCATTTATTTTTTCTTCAAATAGGCACAGCCCAACTTGAGAACCAAGTCAAAATAATATAAATGCCGGCAAAACCAAAATTCTCAACCAACAACCCCATAACAGAGCAGACCGCACAAAACTCGGATCCAAAATGACCAAACAGCCCCAGTGGAAAAGCCACATAAGAAAACCTGCTATAAGGAAGGTACTTCATTAAATCCAGCTGGATAAATCTTAATTCTCAAAACTCCCTTTCTCTGCCACTTCCAGAAGCCACACCACCTTCCAATCGCAACATCCTCTGTAGTGACCATCACCTCCCGTCCCTCCAATGCCAGAAGTGTCAAGCATCAGCCTCATGCTCACACAGCCTATGAAAGTGAGGTTTCTACATCAAGGACCCCGGAATCAACCCTCGCTTCCTGGCCTTTCCTTTGGTCCTGAGCACCCTCCTATTTCTCTAAACTGCAAAGGGGAGGAGGGAGCAACCGAACCTTCTCTACAGCCGTTCGAGTGACTGCTATGTTTCCATGGCTCACTTTCCACTGTTCTTGGTGACCCCTGCAGATTTCCCTTATGAGTTAGTGTCCCGGAATGTCTCTTTATTAGGTGTCTGGAGAAGCAGAGCTGTCCTGATGCCAGCGCCCCCACACTGAGGACTTTATTAGTTTTTTAATTTCTGTCTGGGTGCCCCTGCTGCATCAAACTTTCCACAGCTGTTAGGAGCTATTAAGTAAGTAGCCTCATTGGGCCCTTTCCCCGCCCCCACCTCCTTCTTAATAACATGAGAAATTTCTGGACATGCTACATGGAGCCTTTAAAATGCAGATACTTTGTCTCACTGGTGAGAAATTGTTGGGGGTCCAGATGGGGAGAGGATGTTCTGTCATAAGAAAGATCTCCTGGTCTTTTTGGTGTCTTAGTTTGGAGCTGGGCTGTTCAGGCAACCATGGGGACCCAAAGCTGGTGGGGGACAGCAAAAGTGAGACCCACTCTCTCAACAGTGCACAGCAAGCTGAAGACCAGGGTAGCTCTGACTGTTTTTAGACTGACTTGGAATCCAGCCCAGAGCTTTATGCCAGGTTCAAAGCGTTCCCTCCTGAGTGGACATTATAAGACCCGCAGAGAAGAATAAAACAGAAGGACTAGCAAAAGTTCCCCGAGGTAGGCAAACAGCTGTGATTCTAAGAGCCTGTGCTATTGCTCCTGTCTCCCCTGAGAGGGAAATACCAGGCCCCACCCACCCTCCCTCACAGCACCCCTGAGATGTCATGGGCTGCCTGGGTGAGGACCAGCAGTCACAGGATACCCGTGGGCACAACCAAGATGGCCACACACACACAGAGTGTATTGTTAGACCATGCCACTTGGCTCTTTCCCATCCCACTCCTGCATCTGGAAGGTTGTCCACTGGGGGTGGGGGAGGACAGAGTAAGTGGCTTGAGGGACCAGAATGCACAGTGTCCCTCCCAGCTGCAGCACTTGGCTTTCGCCCCACATGCCTTCCTTTGAGGAGACTTGATTTGCGGGGTGAATGTGAAAACCCATAAAGAAGAAAACGCTTTGGTGGTACCCGCCTCGGGAACAATTTCGCTCTGAGAGCAAGTGGGTATTGGAGGTTAATCCCTCTGTGGAAATACTGGATTGAAAGCCCTGAGGTCAGGGGTCTGAGTACCGCTTCTGTTTACATATCAACTTCCTGGTCCTGGGAGACCATGCAGGGCCAGGGGAGGGGAACGGGCAAGAAAGGAAAGAAAACGAGAATTTTTAAATTAAATGCCCTCCCCTCTAAAAAGAAAGTCAACAACATGAGGTAGAGCTTGTGGAATCAAGGTGTGATTTTCATGTCTATGAACATAAATTTCTTTTAATTTTTTTTTCAGTCATGGTTACATCCTGGAGTTAAAGCATCTTTTGAAACACAATTTGAAATGAAATACTGATACGTGCGTAAGTGTGTGGAGGGTAGGTAGGTAGGTATGATTTTTAAACAAGACACAGGAAGAAAGAAACGCTACTTGTCTCTTGAGTATCAGAGGGAGCTCAATCAAATTAAGCCAATGTGCTTCAACCCCCTTGGCTGTACTGTAACAGTGGGTTCTGATTTGGTTTAAGTTTGGTTTACAATCATGAAGATTCTACGTCAGGCCAGTGAGCTGAAAACTGTTGTATTAAAGGCCCATTTGAAACTACCAGCCACATGTGTACATCAGAAGCTTAGATGATAGTGTTAAAGCTAAGCAACCCCACTCTCTCAAAAGAGTGAAAAGGAAGCCAGACACGGTGACACACACCTGTGATCCCAGCAACTTGGGAAGCTGAGGCAGTAGGATCACAAGTTCAAAGCCAGCCTCAGCATTTTAGGCCCTAAGCAACTCAGTGACATCCTGTCTCTAAATAAAATGTAAAAAGAGCAAAAGAGCTGGGGATATGGCTCAGTGGTTAAGCATACCTGGGTTCAATCCCTGGAGAGAGAGAGAGAGAGAGAGAGAGAGAGAGAGAGAGAGAGAGAGAGAGAAGGAAGAAAAGTGAAGAGAGGAAAAAGAGAATGTTTCTTTCATCTCCTCAAAAAAAGGCAAAGCAAAACTACAAAGTTGGGGAGACAGCTTCAGAAAGACCTAGAAGATATGCAAAATGATTAATCAAGAAAGTTTTTCAAGACCTAGAATTTTTTTAAAAGATTAAATGTAAAAGGCAAAATAGTTCATTTATTTGTTTGTTTGTTTGTTTGAAGAAAGGCAGGGACTTAAAAGTCTGTCCAAGATGTATGTAAGGACATTAACAAAGTATTCATGAAGAAACAGTGGAAAACCTATTACTTGGGACATTTACAACCAGATAAAAAAAATTAGGTATGTAGGACTTGTATCCAAAAGGGTCCATAACAAAACAGACCCCAAATACCTGAGCACTAGTTTCCTCTTGTGTTTCTAACTCCTGTTTTGTTTTGTTTGTTTGTTTTTTGGGGGGGTAGATTTTTTTTATTAAGGTTTTTGCAAATATTAAAGAAAATTCTCACTGTTCGCTCTTGTCAAATGAAAAAAGAAAGCATTTCTGCAATAAATCTTTGCACTTTGAGTCTCCAACTAAAGAATTCTTTAATTCTAAGGATTACATTTTGGGGCAGGGGTGGGATGGGGGCAGTACCAGAGATTGAACTCAGGGGCACTCAACCACTGAGCCACATCCCCAGCCCTATTTTGTATTTTACCTAGAGACAGGGTCTCACTGAGTTGCTTAGCTCCTCACCATTGCTGAGGCTGGCTTTGAACTTGCTTTTCTCCTGTCTCAGCCTCCTGAGTCGCTGGGATTACAGGCATGCACCACCTGCCCAGCTCTAAAGACTACATTTTGAAAAATGAATTTGTTAACAGAAACATCAAAAAAGTGAATAAAAGTTGATATCAAATCCTATGGACCATTAATTATCCTTTAAAAAAGGTTCTAGCTCTTTCCTTTTTCTCAAAAAATTCTGTGGTACACTAATTCTTCACCTATTTGGTCCCTGTCTTAACATTTGGACATCTTCCTTTTTTATTTCTCATCCCCTAAAGGGGGGTGGTTTCCTGGTTATTTTCTCACACAAATTCCTTCAGAGCACCTGGCGTTAGGAAGGTGGCTGGCTGTTTCCTCAGCAGGAAGACAGGAAGATAAGAGAACAAGGAGCAAGAAGACCCAGCAACAATCCAGCAATGGACCAGCAGATGCAGAGCCAGTTGTTTCAAGCCAGCAAAGTTCAGAAATGCCAGGACTAGAGACATCTGGAAGAGACACCTACCACAAAAGGGTCTGCATTTCTTAGGATCATTGGTGCTCTCTCAACCCTTTTGCGGAAGGATTTTTGAGAAGGTGAGACATTTTGCCAGGCTGAATATGGTGGCTGAATAAAGAGAAAAGAATTCAGGTCTCAGTTGAAAATATCAGAGATTGTCAGAGAGTAAGTGATGAGTCACAGGATGACATCAGACTGTGTTATAGGCAGAATCAAAATCTGACAATGAGCTAGCTGCCCTTTGGGTTTCAAAATGCCAAATGGCTGGGACCTGGAGTCTATAATGAACTATGGTCAGGATCACATAAGTTAACCCCCAAACCAGGACATTTTTGATAGGAAAAAGAGGGGAATCTATTACAATTATACTGAGAGAACCCATATATTTAAGGACTGCCCTAAACAAACCTGGACATGATTGCCCCCAGTTATAAATCCCTCCAAAGCAAAGGAGGGAAAGTCTAGCTGCCCTGGGAATGGATTCCAGACAAGGCTGCGTCCAGCTAAGCTTTTTTTTTGCCAGCGGAAAAGCAGCCACAACAGCAAGGAGTTGGGTGGTCCCTTGGTCAACTGAGAATGGGAAATAGATTGTCCATGTCCTTGTATTCTCTTGGAGAGTCACAGTCTGCACTAGTAAGATGCCGAGAAGGATTGAAGTTGATTAAATTACTTAGCATTATTCCATTCCGGCTTTCCCAAAGGTGTTGGGAGATCTTGTTTCATGCCCAAACCTAGAACATTCAGGCAAACTCTGTTCTAAACCCTTGGAAGCAAAATTCAGAGGCAAGGGCTGGGGTTGCTGCCTTTAAAAAGGGTTGAAGTTCTTTCCTTTTCCTCAAAAAATTCTGTGATACACTAATTCTTCACTTATTTGGTCCCTGTCTTGCACAGTTGGACATCTTCCTTTTTTATTTCTCATTCCCTAAAGGAGGGTGGTTTCCTGGTATTTTCTCACACAAATTCTTTCAGAGCACCTGGCAGCAGGTAGGTGGCTATTTCCTCAGCTATTATTTAGTCTGTGGGAGGAGGGATCCTGCAGAGTATGTACTTCCAGGGCTTCCACACTCCTCGGGATGACACTGGCAGACATTCTGCCCAGTGAGATAATATAGGAACCCACTGAGGTGCAGCTGAAGGCCTGCAGAAACATGTCGGAAGCCATCCCGTGCCAGAAGCAGGGAACCTTGGGGTTCATGTTAGCATGGGCAAGCCTCCCTAGCCCCTTGGATCCATTTACTCCAAGGAGACTGATTGGTAATAAGAACTACACTAGATATTAACGAAGTGGTAAGCCCACCCTAACTCAGCTGAGCCACAGAGAACCTCTGATTCCCTGTAAGTGTCTCCCCCACTGGTGGCCTGAGGCTGTACCTCACCCAGGCTTCCATTTCTTTGGCATGCGCATCCTGGGGGAGTGCCCTGGGAGTATGGGTGGTGCAATCCAGGTCAAGACCTCTCTAAACAAGGTGCAGATGAGTTCTGGGAAGTGAGGTGATGAGTGACTGCAGAGTGTAGGAGTCAAGCCAGGCTGCATGGACACCAGGTGAAGCACATGTCACTGGGTGTGGCAGGGCAGATGCAGACTCCTGAGCGTTCTCACCTGGATAATCATGAAATCCTCCAAGGGCATGTCCAAGTGACTGGTCTCTTGATGTTCCCACATGTCCTCCACTTGCAGGCTGAGGGATCTTTCTAAAACACAGACTCATGTGAGTCTCTCAAGGCATATTCCAGTGAGATGGGGGATCCACCAGGAACCTCCTACAGAAAGGCTGTGGTGAAGGGACGGGGTGGGTGGTAGAGACCAGTGATTCTCATTGACAAGGTCCAAATTTCGCGTGTCACCCATGGCTCTCAAAAAGAATTTCATAAGGACACCCCGCCTCTCCCCTTCCCTTCACTCTGTCTCCTCTACTGCATCCACCTAGGTCCGGCTGCCCTTGGATTTCTAAACATATCAATATTCTCATAATCCCTTGCTTTTCCTACCATTTCCTTTTGCTCATAATATCTGTCTCCCTAGACACATCTTAAT